GCGAGCGCGAGCGCGAGCGCGAGAGCGAGAGCGAGAGCGAGAGCGAGAGCGAGAGCGAGGGCAAAAGGCCCGAAATGTTCTCAAGGATGCCAACGCTACTCGGAGGCTCGCCCCCGCTGCCACAACAGCGAAGATCATGAAGAGATGCTGCAAGTTTTGCACTGATAGCGCCACACCTCAACACACCACGACTGGTGCTTGCAATTCTTCTCTCGAACCCGGCGACAACAGCTTCCTTGCTTAGCCAGTGGCAACTTGAAACTGTCAAGGGGTTCAGGAGATAGAACAAGCCTTAGCCATGCATCCTGAGCAGGACCTGACCTACACACGCTACTGAGAAGGCTCGAACCAACGAAGGCCGGACTCATGACATCCTGTCATTGAGATGACAGGCTGGACTGCAGGTGTCCAACATGCAGACGCACTCTTCACATCCAGTCCTCCAGACCTTCTGCAACTTGGATCGCTGGGAGGTTCGTGCCGCTGGCGACCAAAGTCAACGATCTGAGAATGTACAGCACAAGATCCGGAAGTGAAGTCTGCACAAGTCGGGTGTCGTGGCTACACAAGATGTTGATGACGCATTCTCGGTGCTTGCTCTCGAAGTAATGGCTTTGTCATTGATTTGTGGATGCATGCGCCTTTGGCGTGTCAGAGCAAACTACAAATACGATTGAGGCGCGTGACAATTGCTTGACTGTCACTGCTGCCACCGTCAGCATCATGTGCCGGATTGTTGAAAAAGAATCGACATCTCTGTCGACCCAAGCCCTTGGGCACCGGAACTGGATATTGTACACAAAGGGTGAGAACCAATCCGTCTCGAAATGTCACACAGCTTATTGCGTGAGCAAGGAATAATATCCGAAACGTAGCATCTTAGAGACGCCCGCCACGCCACCGAAACGATTTTGCTGTCGTGCTTGTCACAAGCATTGCAGCGAAATCAGAAGCTATCAGTGGCGAACTTAAGCGACTTAACCCCAAAGACACGATTGCGAACCCCAGCAATGCCGCTCGTCTGCACGATTCCAAGGTGCCGATCAAACCTCTTTGCACCGTTTTTGCTCGTGATGTTCACAATGTTTGTCTGCGTCGACGTGCCCCAGCAGGCTGTTCATGATCACGATATCGTCCTTGATTCCCGCAAGCTCCTGGTGCACAAACCTGTGAAACCGATCCGCAGCCTGTATGATCCATGCTTGGTCCTGCAAAATCTTGACCACATCGATTGCTGTTGCATGCCCACGCAAACGCAAACATCCCATTAAAAACTCTTCGACCTCCACGGACCCGCCAGCGTCTTGGTCCAGAAGCTTAAAAAAAGACCAGGCATCCCAAACGTCCAAACCCAATGTTTGAAAATACTGCTGCACCGCAGGCGACTTCAACTTCTCTTCGAACCTCAGTCAACTTCGAGCAGAGTCGTGCACCGAGGCTTGCGACAAAAATCGCATCCTATGAGACTCTTCATTTCTACATACAAAAAGATGCAAGGAACATCTCGTATGTGATTGCCCCCGTGCTCTCACAACCCAGCTGATTGAACAGCGCATTGATTTTTTGCAAGTGGGATTGCTTGTCGTCCAGAATATTCTGCACCATCATCGCTTGGTCGCTTTGCGCACTGTCCTTGGAGCAATTGGCTTGCCACACATGATGAGCGACCATATGTTGCATTTTAAAAGGCTTCCAACGCAGCTTGCAACACGACTGTCACATAATGATAGCTTGGGCGCGATCGCTGACTGGCAAAAAACGCCAGTAACGACATTGAGCCTCAGGCGCGGAGGCGTGAGCACCCACAAACATGCAAAGCACAACCGAAGACTTCCCAACAAACCTACGAACCCCATACCATGCAACAAGCATCAACAAACTGTCACCTTGTCGCCCAAGCCAGAAAGGAAAAAAGGATGGCAGAGTTCTGAGGCTGAATGCCTATAGAAGCATGGATTATTAAAGCTAACATAAATCCTAAAACTACAACGCTGCCTGATACTCGCTCAAGGACCCTCTGACAGCAGATAAGCACAGATCATCACTTAAAGTTCCTCGCGTGGCCTATAAACAGACAAAACAAGACTAATCCTATTATGACTGTGAATGATGACTCCGTCCAACAGTCCAAGTGAGTCCAAGCAAAGGGCAAGGAAAGAACCACGACGAGTCAACCCCTCAAACAACTGGCGGCATCTCTACTACCATGCAACCAAGAAAGACAAGAATGCTCAAAGGCAAGTTGCACGGCCAGATACGTGAAAGAGATATAGAAGACGAATACCATGACCCACATGGGAGAGATAAGCTTCAGCGGCACGATCACCTCTTCCCAGCTCACGCCACCAACAATTGACATAAACAGGCTCAACATTGTGTTGGAAAGGTCGCCGAAATACTTCTCGTTGGCAATCTCTAGCTGCTCTCTGTCATCAGCCGACACGCCGTCGAGGCGATAATCGTTTACCGCCTGTGCAAAGAGTATGGCAAAAACATACACAATAAGCGTCAACAGCATCAGAGCCCAAAACAGTGATTTCATCGTTGAGAAAATTGAGGTGATGAGCGTTCTCAGCGCCAGCACAAAGCGGAAGAGGCGGATGACACGGACGGTCTTCAGAATCCGTGTAAGTCGGATGATCCTGGCGGCTTTGAGACTGGAGATCCCGTTTATGCTGCCCACATCGCTCTCAAGCACATCCTGCAGAATACCTGCAGCAACATCCCATATTGAAGTCATCACAATAAATATGTCCAGCACACTCCACATCCAATCCTCCGAAAAGAGGAAACCTTTTCCGTGTGCCACGACACGCAAAAGTAGCTCCGCTACGAACAAGAACGTGTACAGGTATTGTATGACGCGCAAGCTCGGTGGCTCGTCACCATCACCGCTAGTCAACGTCAACTGGAGATCGATGCCGAGAAAGGCCGCGTTCGTCAGCACAACTATGCCGAAGAAGATGTCGAAGCCCGGATGCTCGACAAGACTTTTTACACTCAGACCGCGAGATGCAGCTTGCGCCTGCTTGGTGATTTCTGCAAACTGCTTTCTCGAAACCGTGCCGGACTGTGTGTCGGCCCCCTCCCTGAGCTGCATGTCGAAGCTCGTGTAGGTGCAGACTGTCTTGTAGGGATCCGAAATGCTGTTGCGACTCTCAGTAGGGTCTTGTGCACTGCATTGTGAAGAATCATCGCGCCTTCCGGATGACATGGAAGGGACTGACCCCTCACCCTGCGGGTCAAACAAGACAGGCATCGATGGCACCATTGGATGTGCTCTCCGTAACAGAGAATGCTGCTCCTCCAGCTTTTGCATGACTTCTTGGTGCAGTCGACTGACCAATGCCTCCAGTGCAGCATGTCCAGCATCTTTTGTCGCATTGAGATCAGTTGCAACATGGGAAGACATCATCGCATCCTTGCCAGGGCTTGAAACTTATGCTTGTAGTGAAAGCTTCAAGCATGAAACTGCTTCCGACGAGCGCCTATCGTCCCGAATCAATGCAACAACTAAAGCATAAGTGCGCACCTGCCCATGTCACATGCTGCATCTTCGGTGTCCTAAAACCCTACACTGTTCGTGCAATGTGACCTGTAGTGTATCAACCAGTAGGAATTCAAGAAAAGTACAGCTACCCTGGGCACCACCACGCCTCTTTCACTCCCCTCGCCGAAGGCAGCGTGATACTGTGCGGACTGTGTGGAGGGTACAACGCCATTGCATCAAAACAGAAAACCACACGTAACCAAAGCTGCTTCGATAGTTCAACGAAGGCCTTCTGAGACTGAAACAAAGACTTGCAGCGAGCGATAACTCAAACAGCATTGGGCATACAAACCTAGGCATGGAGCACCCTCTTGAACCGCATCGCGAACGAATTGCAACACATCGGCAAAAGAGCGTGCCATTGACTCCGCGATCTGCCCTGTGGGCCCGACGCATCTGACCAAGGCCTTCCAGCTTGTCGCCGAGCTTGGTGATAGCGAACAGCTAGCTGCCGTAAAAGCAATGCTGTGACCTGAGCTCGGGTCTGGTTGAAGAAACTGTCTGGATGAGCTTGGAACGAGAGCCACACCACGTCGACAGAGATCAGGAAGCCGAAATGTGCCCAGGGGGATATCTCCGGCTCCGCAGCGACTCACTATCTTCAACTTCAGGATCTGCATGGGTTCGTAAGGATGGGCCTGCTCAAGCATCTGGAGAAACAGCAGCAGCAGAGGGGGATGATGGCCTCGCGCAGTGACATCTCACTCTGTTCCTTGCTCGGACATGACAGTGTTCTGAGAGGCAAGCAAGTGTCCCCTGCATAAGGCGAGATGCCGTTTTTGAGGAAGAAGAGGCCCTCCTTCAACCTCGCGATCCCCCGCAAACAAAATGCTCGGCAGCTGAAAGTGCAACAACCGGCAGGCCTGACATGGGATGTTATCGGGCTGTTGACCTCTAAATGTTCCTCCAACATTTGCGAAGCATTGGCCTCAAATCGCGCAGCGCAACATGGATGCTCATGCATGCATGCTTCGCCAAAAGTGCTGCCGAAGCTCTCTATGATCACTTTATTTATACAGGTGGTTCAGATGGAGTGGAGTGGACGGGACGGACGACCGCGATCCGAAGATCTGGACTAGACAAACAACGATATCACCTGCAGCCCAAGGGCTAAAGCCTTCAGGGTATAAGATTCTCAGGCATCCACGCGCCTAAAAAGCCAGATGTAATTGTTTTCCATTCCAGTCATTAGCGCTTCGACTATCACTGGGGCTTTAATTTTTTATCACATGTATATGTATCATTGTTCTCCTCGTCCCTGATTCCGTCATCATTGTGTTGATCGTTTCCGGCGTCATTCTTTGCGCTGTTTTCTTCATACTTGATATTATCATCATTGTGCGACCATGTCCGGCTTCGCTTCTCTAGAATTGCGTGCTTCATCTCCACCAAAACCGTGCGCTCCAGGCACGAGCCAGGTATCATCCGACAGCAGCTGCATCAGCTCATCGCAGTTGTCACCGTTGTCACCGCGCACATCAGGGCGAACCGGGACACATCCCGACAGCTGTCCCATCAGCTCATTGCAAGATTCATACACTCAGCTCGGGATCCATCTCGACATTAGCATCATCGGTTCCAGCCTCAGTTCCGGTCAGATTGCAAGATGGGGTTCCAGCAACTCCACGGAGTTATCCAAGAGGGTCTGCGTGGTCACCTTCGGCGAACTAACGGCGCGATAGGTACTACAAGCCCGCTTGTGGGGTGTTAGCTCTCGTCCAGGAGAGCAAAGAGTCCAGAGTGCAAGAGAGGCTTGGCCAGATAGTTGGTGTTGCCAGCCGGGCCGAGTGGCTGCATTGTCCCCTCCCATGCCCTGAGACATCTTGTTCTGGTTCGAGGATCGACGTCCGGTGTCGTCGCTTACAACTTGCCGCATGGTGCGACTCTGAGCAAAGGTCATTGCATCCAAATATGGGGGAAGCTAGTGGAGTGCTAGTGCGATGATGACGCAAGAAGAGCTTACTCCAAGGACTTGTCGCAAGTTCAGGTGGCATGAAGGAGACGATTGCGGGGCCCATCGCAGGGGGGGTGCCGGTCTAGGCCGAAAATCGGGGGAGATTGCGAACGAACTAACCAGTCCGGCTGTCAGACTCCGTGCAGAAGAAGCTTCGCCAATGCATGCAAGGCCAATGTGAATGGGGGATTGTTCAAATCGAGCGCTTCTCGAAGCACGCTAGGCATCTCCACCCATGTCTGGTTTACCAAAGACATGTGGCTTGGATCATGATTCAGGGCACGGACGGTTTGCCTTGGAGGTGCCCAATCATTGCAGACCCTCGGTCCCCTCAGGCCCCACGCCCCTCAAAAAAACGCTTCAGAACGCAAGTCTTGTCCGATAAGCGACCGAGTGATCTTGTGGACGAGATGTCATGTTCTGTCACCCATGTTGCAACCCTCGGACGATTCTCCGTTTCGACTCCCCCGTTCAGCAACAGGCTGAGACTCACGAACATCAGAAGTTGGCCGTAAGGTTGCTGCTTGTCACCCAACGGTTGCCTAGGAAAGCGAGGCCAGCGGCTTTTCACTTGCTGCAGCTTGCGAGTTGCAGCTGATTGCAACTGCGCAGTTCCGGTCGGTTTGCATGGTGTGGATTGTCAACAACGGCTTGGAGTCGTCCATACAGAGGCCACGTCGCCGCTTCCTAAATGGGAAGCTTCCGTCGCCCATGCTGGAACTACATGCACAAACCTTTCCACAACTTGATCTTCGTCGTCGGCTCCCTACGCATGGAAAAGAATCAATGCGCCGGACCATGGGTGAGCCAGGCCTTGCAGGGCCAAAGTAAGTGACCGGGCTTGTCACCCCATATGCAACAACGCCTGAAACTACAGATCAGCTCCCCTTAGAACGTTGAAGGATTGGGACCGGGCTTTCTGCTGGGTCATCCACTCCGCAACGATCTTTGTTGAGCCACGCGTGCGGAAACGCAGCTGTTACAGAAGCGCGTCGGGACTGTCACAGTGGCACTGCCACTCCAGAACGGCACTAGTTGCTCGATGTTGCTCGATTCAGAACCGACCTGGCATACGACAAAGCAGCCGGCTCTAGCACGCCGGAGTCGGAGATGTGCTTTGAGCAAACAAAACGAACTCGTAGTCGTGCTTCGCCCAGCGCGAGCTTCTAAACGGTCATGTGCTTTTGAGCTCAGACGGGCACGCGCGAAGCTCGGTGGAATCGCAACGGCATGTATGTGCTCAGGATGCCCACAAAGTCCGAGTGGCTGCCTCTTGCTTTCATATCGGCTCGCACGCGCTGGGAACAGCAGCCTCGGTCTCAGGTACCGCACCAGCAAAGCTCCATAGCCCACAGTCGTTGTCGTTGCCCAGGATGGGAGTGGAGACGGAACGTTTCAGGTATCCTGCATGGCGATCACCAACGACTCCGGCCCTGGCGAAGAGGGTGCCCCTTCTGCTGCTGGCAACGGCATCGACTGTGCGCTGTGATGTTTTGACGGGAAGGTGCAGCCGTTGAACTGTTTTATAAGACTGTTTCAAGAGCCTTCTACTAATGACATGGCTTTCGACGTGACCTGACGCGAGATGGCAATGTGTTGCGAACGGAACTTCAAAGCTTCCTTCATGCGATCGTCGGATACGTGCGCCCTGGGGCACTATATGTCCGCTGAATAACTTCACGCATGATTCCAAGATGCTTGACCTCCCAGCTGCAACTGTCCGAGCTTCAGGCTAGATGCAGCAAAACGCGCAGCAAGATGCCAACGGTGCCTTGGGCACAAACTGTCGGGATGCCTGCATGCACACACTGGGACAGAATCTAAGGAAAACGCTACCAATCCACATGCTCGCCGCAGGGATCTACCATCGGAGTGCCGTTGCTCGAATTGCTGACATAATGGAGACCTTGTTGCTTTGTTTTGCTGGCAAAGGCCTGCATCGAGTTGTGCTGCAAAGCAGATTCGCTTCTATGAAAGTCCTCGTGTATATAGTGGTTCTGATGACGAGCGAGCCACGGTCCGCCAGCAAAGAGCTTCGCGTTCTGAGATCTACAGCTTACTGAGCTGGTCTGCAGCCTCAGTCCGTGGCCAAAGCGACAGCCTTTTGGAAGAGCTTACGCGCCTGTCGCACCTGCCATGAGTTCTGGCACTTACTCACTACTCGACATCATCCCAACTTGACTCAACAACCGCGAGCACCAAGATCAGATGTCTGTGCGGCAAGCACCTTGGACAGCCCCAGGAGTCATCCCCAGCAAGCTTCTCTTCCACACAGAAGGCTTTAATCGCTTCCTGGGGCAGACGCGGCAAGACCGAACATGCCAACAACAAAAGCTTCAACACAACCGAAACGCAGCGCAAGCAACAGCAGGGTCGAAGTACAGGTGCCAGATCGAAATGAGCTCACTCAAAGCACGCAGCTATTCACTCAGTGGTAGCACGCAGGCTTGTTCAACCTAAAGGCACATGCAGCAGCTAAAGCAGCGAGGCCGTCAGATTGAAACCACGGAAGCCTCGGTCAAACATGTAGACGTGTGAGACAGGCAGGTGCTGTGACAGCGCTGCCTCAGTGATGCAAACCTAGTGTTCCGAATTTGGTCAAAGGATATTTGGGGGCACATGATCCACGGGCTCGCTCTCCGGTTGAAGCTCGTGCAGACCGCGAAGGCTGGTCTATGCAAGTGCAATAATCCTGTAGTGCTGCTCGGCAAACATACTGCGTGATGGTTCCGTCCCATTCCCCCACCGCTGAGAACTTGTACTGATGACTGATGCGAATTAAGTGTGCCCATACATATATATGTATATATATGCATACACGTATATACACATACAAACATATACACATATAAACATGTAGATATATTTGCACATATATATATATATATACGTATATATGATAATATGTGTATATATATATATATATATACATATACATATATAGATGTATACATAAACATATATATATATATATACATATAATATACACTTATCCATATGCCCATATAGCCCGTAAATCCATATATCCATATATTCATCTACCTATAGATCCATATATCCATACATCCATATACAATGCATACATATAACCACATATAGATATACATGCGTGAGGGTTTGGTATTGATGTTCCCTTCGTCGCTCACCTCACCGAGCTAGCTGATGTCGTATGAGGCTGCCAATTGTGGAGTTTTCACATCATTTCACCTTTTCACCAATTCACCGTTCCTTTCCCCCATGTGGTTAGGCCTCCTCATCACCAGTTCACCCGTCATTGCCCCCTCTCCTCGCAATGGTATGAAATGGTGAATTGGTGAAGTGAAATGCCTCCGGGGCCTAATCACAGCCGTGGTATGAAGGGTGAAATGGTGAATTGGGGACTCGGTGAAATGAAGGGTGGCCAAGGTCAAAGACCGCCTTTCGGATGGGCGGGCCTTGGATGGACATTGAGGTCGATTCCCCCCTTCCCGCTGTGATTGCGGAGTGGGTTTGGATCTCCCTTCTGCCCGTCAGTGCGGGTGTGGGTTAATCCCTGCTCCCGAGACGGTATCAAAGATCCATAAACGACGAAGACAACGCAAACGACAACACACACACGAGGGTCGCGACCCATCCCGTTGCTTGCTGACACGTTCGAGACATTGTCGTGATTGCTGTCATTATCATCCTCATCACTGGCATCATCTCCATAGTTTCAACCTCTCGCATTCCTGCGAATGTGGCGCACTCCAATGGCAGTCACGACACCCGGAGCACAGGCTTGTTGGTTCAAGTTTGCCGCTAAATGTATGTAAGACGATCTTGGTCCCGCTGCTGCTCGAAACTGAGCTTGGCTTGAAGATGTCTGGAGTTCAATCCTTTGCCTCAACCCCTCTACCAGTTGTCGCCCGTGAAATCAAAGACACTGAAGGCAGCATCGGCAACGAGCTTTGCAAACCCTTCTTGCGCCTCGATGTGCACCCTTCTGCCACCTGCCATGCTGTGCACTACCGGCCTTCGCACACCTTGCAACTACACAAATTGCCAGCACTGCGCGAAACATGACTTGGCATAGGCAGCGATAGGAAGAGGAAGGGATCCTGTCATTCTTAGCATAGGCATTCCAATGACGTACACCGCGCACCCCAAGAGCTAGGATGGCTAAGAAAGTAAACAATCGTGGTGGAGGCACAGCCACATTCACAGCACTGAACCTGCCAAGTATCATATGAAACAAGAGGATTTCCCGCAATAAGTCCTAGCTTCTCTGACTTTTGTAGCTCTTCGGATGCTCTGCTGATTGAAAACCTTCACTATCGGCCTGCGACCGCAGCTGCCCTTGGCAAAGGTCAATGACGACGGAGCGGTGTTGTTGCAGGTGCAAGTACCAAGCCTGTCCCCACATGCTCCTCAGCTCGAACTGAGCTCCCTGTAGCCCCGCTGTTGTCCCACCTCCGCAGCCAAATGCTCTTCACAGCAGGCGTCCTCACTGTGGAAGCTTTGTGGAGCCTGTGCAGCTTGTCAACACTCGAGTTTGGGAGGTTCGCGCTTGCATGTGGCCTTGCACTCGGAACGTTGACCACGGTTCCGATTCAAGTCCTCTAAGAGCAGCTCTTCAATGCTCTGCATGCTCCGCTGTGAGCTGCGAGTGGTTAGGAGTTTCTGTCCTCATGGATGGCATCAAGAAGGAAAGCCATGACCTGCAAGTCTAGGAAGCGATTCTACTCTCAGCGCTCGGAACGTGTGCTCCTGCCTCCTGGGCATCTTGTTGCACACCAGGCCTCAGCCAAATCCAGTGGGGACACGGAGTTGAGAAACATAGCCACAGAGCTACTTCGTCCAATGCCTTATATGCGCAACGTGACACAGTTTCGGATAAAACATCTAGGACATTCAATTGAAGGACTTGGCTCCGGGCTGCTCAGCCACAAGCGTACAGTGCCTCGCTCTGCGGGAGAGGACAGAAAGTCCGAGCAACTGCAATTCATGCTTCGAATCAACCGTTTCAAGCTCCCTGCTTGCAGAGCGTGCGGTAGAAGGCCTGATGCGGCGAGATTCAACACTTGCCTTTACCTTTTCAACCCGACGGAAAACTGCGACCTCGGGAGAGAACGCAGAATGGGCGTACTGTGACTTCTCGGCGCTCGGTCCTTCAGGCGGTCGCTGCAGCTCAAAGCGATTCTAAGCCCTGCTTCCTGCTCATAGCCTGAAGCTTCAGGGTGTCAGTGGCACCAACACCAAGCGACAAGGGGAGGACCCGAAATTCTAAATCATAGCTATATTCGCCCTGCAACTCTGACCCTGCCTTCTGCAACAAGTCTATGAAGCAGCTGCGCAAAAGCTGATGCCACTTCCTGGCAAGGATCATGTGTTCTGATGTCAAGGTGATGCGTTGCCATTTGATATGCTCCCCGTATGGTGGTATGCAGTATGGAACCACTTGTGGGCTCAAAACAACTGATGAAGACATAAACTTGGAACATGCGGTGCTCCAGGAGCTTTAAAGTTAAGGGTCGATCGCTCGTGTCATGCTTTTGAAAAGGACCTGTCGAGGACCCTGCGGCTACGAAGAGGCGAATGGCTTTCATCCATCGCGCACCTTCCGCACGCGTCATGCCGACCTTTCGCGGAGTGCCGCATGAGATTCGTTCTTGCTTCATGAACTTCTGGTAGCAAGTAGCAGCTAGTAAGTAGTTCGTAAAGTAGTATGTAGTACGTAGTAAGTACTTAGTAGTAAGTGTTAAGTAGTACGTAGTACGCCGTAAATGGTTCGTAGTAAGGAGATAGTAGCAAGTAGCTAGTAGCAAGTAGAAGTATGGTATGAGTAATAAGTTGTAAGTAAACTGCGGTAAGTACTAAGTATAAGTACTTGCGCTTGCACTTGTGAACGTTGCTCCGTGCTCCATAGTCTGAAGCATGGAGAGACAGACAACCGTTCCCGTCCGGCGACTCATAGGTCACTGCGCCATCTGTGCATCCCTAAAGAACGACAACGCCTCCCTACTAGAAAGACTGCGTCTTCAATCAGGATCGATCACATGCTGATCGAAGTTTCGCAACTCAACTCCTCAGGCTGCCTATATATCCCATCAGCTGCGCAGCTGTACACCGGAATCAAGGCCGCTTCACAGCGAGCTGTACGCTCAGCAGAGCGGGAGGAATGTGTTTCGTGGACAACAGTCTCATCCGGAAATACGTACTTATTTGCAGTCGTGCGTGCAGCATGTCACTAATAGAACGTAGCTCCTGTCAGAGTTAAGCAGTAGCAGCAGCAGTAGCAGTAATAGTGGTGCTAGTAGCAACTGGTGGTGGTAGTAGTAGCAGCAGAAGTAGTCGTCGTCGTCGTGGTAGTCTTAGTGGTAGTAGCAGCAGCAGCGGGAGTAGAAGCAGTAGTACTAGTCGTCGTCGTCGTAGTAGTAGTCGTTGTAGTAGTATATCCTCCTGAAATACAGCAACTGAGCTATGACAACACCTCAACGATTACGCGACCTTCGGAGTCGGTCCCCTTTTTGGCGTCCTCAGGTAGTTGTGGCGCTTGCCCCCGCGGACAACTGTGTGCAAGCGGGTTGGATCCATTTTTGTGCTCTTTCCATTCGTTCCACAATTGCTTGTGGTTCTCGTTTGGTCATGTGCAATCCTCCAGCTAAGCTAATGCGTTGAAAAGCTCTTGACTGGAATACCTAGGGAGACCGGCAGACCTGCTTGAGTCGGTGCTTGATTTTGCAACCAAACTTGTCTCGAAGGCAGGCGGTCCACTGCAGCTGTACAGTATAGCTGCTGCAAAAGGAACTTCCCACTGGCCTGTCTCACAGAAACCGCTGGTACCACTGTAAGACAAGGTCAGTTGTTGAGGTCAGGGATTCGAGTGCGCTACCGCGTTCATAGCTCGCACTAACGGATAAAGGGTACCGTCAGTAGCAGCAGGAGCTGCAGCAGTGAGCAGCACAAGCCGCAGCCCTTGCAGATTAGTTTGGTGAGGAGATGTGAAGCCTTTAGCGAATGCAGCTCTATTAGAATTATGAGGATTTGTCTCTCTGTTTCCTTTCTCGGAGCAGGGCTCTCGAAGGTCCTTCTGAATTGGACTGCGTCTCTACAGCGTCTCCTGCGGCCTCCGACCTGATGCCCGCGAATCTCCCGAAATCGCTCGGAGGCCGCGGGCTGCCGCAGTTGAGCTTTGGGCATCGACTTCCCTCAGAGTTCTTGGTTTTAGCACTGCGAGCAAGGCCCCTCGCACAAAAACATGCCATGCACTGCAGATGGCTCTAGATTCTAGATCGCTCAACCACAGCCGAGATGAGTCAAATTCGACACGTTTTCATGTGCATGCGTCGATCATTTTATCGCTTCTCAAGGGTCCCTGCATTTGCCACGGTACACAACAAGGAAACATTGTGCCAGGGTGACCCCCCCTGTGCCCAGCGGATTGGACGGATTGAGATCTGCTTCAAATCGCCTCGGACTCGGGGAGCAACGGAGTCAAAAATCGAGCGAAAGCCTCTTTTTACCAAGCTTTGGACCCCCGAAGGAAGAACTGAGCGAAGAGAGGAGCATGCGCCAGGGACTGCAAAGCAGCGTTAAGGAAGCACCTCGCATCACGAGGCATCTCAAACACCAGAGATCTGAAGAGCTGCCACAGCCGAGGCACGTATTGCCAAGATTTCGTAGGCCCACGGGCTCTGAACATGTAGCCCTGCAAAGGTCTCAAACTCCTACGCTCCCGATAGATGGCAATTCACAACGTTTCCCGTTCAACGCGGCTTCAAGATTCTTTGATTGGCACATGCGAAGCAAGGGAGGTGCTTTGCACGCTTTGTGGCGAACACTGGGTGTAGCCACCGTCTGATGGGTCGTGTTGTGTGTTCGCCATTGCAAAGGCCTTCGATGGTGCGGAGAAGTCTGGCAAGACCTGCCACGTCATGCGGCTGAGGTAAGATCGTAAGCTTAGCTGAAAAGTTGAAAAGTTCTGCAACCAATCCCGCACACACTGAACTCGGTTGTAGAAAGACAGGGCCAGCTGTTGGGCTGAATGCAAACAAACTGAACTATGCCATGTCAGTCACGTTGCCTCACTTGCCCAAGCAAGCCTATTTACAAACCTAAACAAGAAGAACTGAAATACCCTTGCATGACTTCACGTCCCGCCACACAGGCTGAAACCGAGCAGAGTGCACGCGGGGGCCGAGCCGCAGGAGCCGCAGGAACCCTGCGGCAAGCAGGGGGAGGTCACATGAGGTCACGGGCGTGGAAGGACAATACCAGAGCACACCTTGGTTGATCTGCTCAGCCCTTCAAGTCCACATTCTCTGTCTGGACCCAGGTCCGCCTTCCAAGTTTAAAGTCGGAGCCGCAAAGACTTCATTCCGGATTCCACACTGCATCGCGCAAAACGGCAAAGTTCGGCTTGATGCCTTGCTGTCATGCCGAGGGTCGGTCAGAGGTGGTTCTGAAGAGACGCGCTTCTGCCTGACTTGTGACGGACGGCTGGCCCACGGTGACTGCACACTTTTGCCATGGGATACCTGCTGCTTGGACTTAACAAATATCAGCATCGTCGTCATCATGGTGGAACAGTCGTAGTACTAGTGGTGGTAGTCGGTGTAGTAGTCGTAGCAGCCGTACTAGTTGTCGTCGTCGTCGTAGTAGCAGCAGCAGCAGCAGTAGTAGTCGTTGTCATCGTAGCGTAGCAGCAGTAGTGATATTAGCACTCGTAGCCGTAATCGTAGTCGCAGTCGCATCCGGAGTCGGAATCAGGAAAGGCTGAAGGCAGAATCCTCACCACCAGATGAGGCAAGCTAATGGGGCATTTGCACATTCTACCCTGACAGAAGGACCGGCGGACGGACTGACACACAAATGTTAGACAAACAGAACCTAGACTGCAAACCACTGCACTTCAATATGCTACATTTGTAGTCGTCATTCTACCTCATATTGTGCAAATGGGCACGTCAACATACACGCTCAGAAGACAGGCCGGACGAAACTAGCTTGTTCTCGTCGTCAACATCACGACCCTCAAATATTGATAGCATTATGCTAATTATGCTTACTGCGAAAGCAAAACACGGCTGCATGGCGATGTAATGTGGTTTTGAATCATGCAACTTGGAAATCTATACAGAGATGCTCAGGTGCATGTCCATCGTGCAATGTCTGCGCTAAGACCCGAAGAACTGTAAACATGGCACCATTTCCTCTTCGGCAGCTGTAACTGCAGAGTCGTGAGTCGTGATCTTCACTTATCCCTCCGGGGCAGGTCCTCCGCTGCCAAACAGGTGCGTCATCTGCGGGGCTTGCTCTGGGTGTCATTCTAGGAGCATTGGCTTGTGTCACACTGCATGTTGAGCAGAAGAGAGCATCTACCCCCGGCTACAACCTACTGGAAGCCAGGGCCGTTCGCAGTCCGCGCTGACTCCCAGCGGACAGGCTTTGCCAGCAGAGTCAACACCAAGCTCGCTGAGCTCAGATTTCAGGACATGCGAGCTCTCGGCATGTACCACTTCCAGACGAAAAACCGATCGCAGATTAAACTGACGCCTACTGATCTCCTATCTATGTGCATGGGGGTGGTGTACACATGCCAGCTTGCCAGGTGCATCAGCTTCTCTGCAGGGGCGATACACATCTGTTGAAAGTTTTGCTGGCAAAGGGCAGCTGCACTCCACGCCTGTCTGGCCGATCCGAGAATCAACAAGCAGTACTGAGTTGACCATGGATATTAAAAGGTTGATACTCGGACCGGAAGCTTCACTACCGTCAAAGATATGTATAAAGCGCAGCTGATGCACGTGCCCGCAGCAGTGCATCAGCCACGTTTACATCGACATTTATGCCTCTCAAAATAACACCTGAAGCAGCGAATGCCCGTCCTGACCTGGGTTTCACTTCAGAAGCCCCCAACCACCTGAGACTCGAAGGCGTGGTGCTCGGAAAGCTCAGCCACGTACGGCCATCTTTGCACACACCCTGCAGATGCTGGACTGATGTGGGTGCATCTTGCAAGTCACTAAGTACTCCAGCACCCGTTGCAGAGAAGTCGGACCTACCCATAGCACCGGGTGCTTTGTCTGGATCCAGGAATCCGACACCTCGCTGACCTGCACAACAGTATCTGCTGCAGAAGCGGTATCCACAGCAGACACAGGAGTACACACGGTGCGAACCTGCATCCGCTGCTTCCTTTCGGGAATTGTGGCAAGTTGCGAAACATGTCAAGCCATCTACACCAAGTGCAGGAGATGTCCTCTTGGGACTCAGATCCGGAAGCTTTCCCAGCGCTTTCTGAATCAGACTCGCTGCTAGAGCTTGACCCACCTTCAAGCACGAGGCAGTCCAAGCTTCAGCAGTCGCCACTAGCTCCAAAGTTTCGGCGGGATGTCGTTCAAGCATCGCCGGCGTGACTGGCAGATGTGGCTGGTGGAGGTGAACTTGCTTGTGCTGCGCCTTCTGGCTGCGCACCATCGGCCTCGACGAAGTGACGGTGGCAGTGAGGCACTGTCGAAACTGAAGTACTGGGGGGGGGGGGGGGGCTGGGCACGGAAACAAGAAGCCTAAAGCCACCTTTGAGCACGCCAGGAGCTCAGGATAAGCCTTTCTTTCCACCGCTTGTGGATCCCTGCTAGATGCTTACAGTCGCTGTGCAACTTTCCCAGCCGACAACTTCCGAAAAACCTGGTCGCACGCTGCCAGTATCTACCTGTACTGCTGCTGTACGTGAAGTATCGGTTCCCGACCCTGCCTCTGCAGTCTCTGTGGCAGGGGTGACTTTCTTCTGCTTGTTCGGCGAAGCTTCGCTGCCACTTTCTGCATGCCCGTTGGACGTCGCCTCTGAGTCGGCAGCCAACCAAGTCAAGATTCGAGAGACTGCTCATGTCGCGACCCGCCTGCCCAGACTTGAACGACCTCATCCTGCCAGTGCCAGCAACAACGCAACTGCAGACTGTTCACAGTTCACAGACTACGCGAGATGCTGGACGGTGCATGGTGTGCAAAACGCAAAAACTCGCCCTCAGCTGTGCATCGTGGAACTGATAGCCCAGCATAACATCAGCATTGGCCTTCGGTACCAATCGTCCCGAAAAGTCATGACCTGCCACAGTGAAACGATGCCGTAATTTTAACCAAGGTTTATCGAAAAGCTATTCAATCGTGCCTCCTCTTTTCCTTTCCCGTCTGCCAGCATGACGTAGCAGGCCCTCGCAACGACCTCTGCCGCATGCTTGGACCCACAACCTCGGAGTAAAGATCGCTTGAATGCTCCGGTGACATTGGCCATTCTTGGTTCATCCCTGGCTCGACTGGTTCGATGTGCGGTTTATATCTCCTCTGGCCTATTCCTTTCTTATAGGCGATGCATTTTGGGCTGGCCATTCGGCATTTAGCGCTAGTTTTCCGTGTGCCAACATGCGGATTCGTGAAGGTCACAAGTTCGCAAGGCAGTTTACATGTGTTCACAGCACACCAAGGATCATAAACGAGTTGTGACGATTTATCGTATCCATGACTTCGCAACACCTGGTGCAGCTCCTTGGACTCAAAACAGTTTCAGCGTGCATGCGAAATTCGTTGCCGGTATCCTGCCTACTTTCCCGAAAATTCCCTGTGTGCACTGATTTGCCTTTCCGTTGCAGAGCCTCGGGGACCGTGCGTAGGTTTCGGTCCTGTTCACGGTTCGGGCTTTGAAGATGCACGGCACAATCCTGCAACCCCAAGCGGTCTGCAAACTTTCAACCCCCCATCACATGCACTTGCCGTCATGCCATGAAACCGCCCGCATCGAGGCAAGCACAGCTGCACGCACCAACAAGCAAAAACCACACAAGACAGCTGCAAAGTCCAAAGCCAGAACCGAAAAAACTCGCACCAACCCGTCGCATTGTGGCACCAAGACCAAGCCCGCTTGTACGCTTCAGCACCAAACACCACACAACACATCAAGCCTTAACCTCACCGAACCCAACCCCACCCAAACCCTCGATGCGTGAGGCAAGCTTTCTATTCCAGCAATTGTATATTGATTAACATGCAGACAGCGACCAGATGTGGAAGCGGGCTCATCGCGACAACACCCGCGCTTCTCACTTGCAGAAACCAAAGGCACAGGTAGACCCGAAAACGCAAAGTTGATCAGCAGACGAAGCTTGTGTGTAGTGGCTTGAAAAGGCTGCAAACCTTTCAGACCTTTCGTCTTGCAGTCAGCTGCGACGTACCGCTCGACCCACCCAAAAATTGCAGATAACCTGACGAGACATGAGCCTGACATGACCTCACCTTGCCTACATTATATTCTACATATTTACGAAATGTTTGGATACAAACTCAAGCCATCAAAAGCTTTCTCGTCTACGCTGATGTTCTGCAACCTTACGTGGCCTGGCTGGTGACCAAACCCGAACTTCCAAAGCTAACTGACCCAACTGCCCTGACCTACCGCAGCCTAGAGTAGCCCAGCAAAGCCGACGCCACGCATTGGTGGCCGGGTTTCGGGTTTGACAGAGTTGCAGCCGATCCGGACAGAACACGGATTAATTAAGAACTTCATAACAACGAAACCTTAACCTCAACCACTCAACCATTACCTTAGCCTCAACACTAGCATTAACCTTAGCCTCCTCAACCTCGACGTGAACCCTCACTTGACCTTAACTTGCAAACTTAAATCTCAAGCCTGAAACCTTACGCCTAAAACCTTAAACCTCCAACTGTAAACCTCCACCCTTCAGCTTGAAACCTTAACCCCTAGCCCTGAGACCTGAAGCCTTACGCCTCAAACCTTCAACTTGAAACCTTAAGCCGTATAGTCTTTTCCTTCGGTTTTGACCGTTGGGTCACAAACCTTAAGCCTCTAGTTTTATCAAACCTTCACTCTTAAGCCTCAAGCCTTCAGCCTTCAGCCTTCAGCCGTAAGCCTTCAGCCTTATGCCATAGGCCTTGAGCCCGCAACTTTCAACCTTGAGCTTGCAACGTTGCGCCTTATCCCCAAGGCCAACAACTTACAACCTGCAACCTTCAACCTTGAACAACCTTAAAATTCAAACCATAAACCTTAAGTCTTAACCCTTCACCCTTAAGACTGGCCCCAAGCATTCGAGCTTAAACGTTGGACCTTAAAACTCAATACGTCTTACGTCTCTAAACCTTCACGTTGAAGCCTTAAGCCCTATGCCTAGGGCCCGCAACCCCCAACTTTCAACTTTCGACCACAAACCTCCTGGAGAGCGAGCCCAGACGGGCACCAGCACCCAGGCCAGCTTCCCCTCTTGGTCGCCAAGCTCTGCCACCACAATCCGCATTTCCGCTTACCTTTTTGCGGGCTGCCTCACCCTTGGGGCTAAACCATGCTAAAGCCTTGGCCTGCTTGTTTTTGTTGCCCTGGTCCTGGCTGTGGCTGGCTGGCCCTGCCGCGGCCCTCGATCCGTTTCGTCATCTGTCACATTCCGAAACGCCTGTAGCCCCAAAACGAA